CAAGTCCTGGATGAGAGCTAACTTTCCTCAGTTGAAAGTAGCAAGACCGAGGTCTCCTGATTGGCAGCATCTCCATCCATGGTTTCCCACTCCACCTTGCTAAGCCAGTCCGGAACCTTGGGGTCTTGTTTGACCCTCAACTATCCTTTCTACGCCACATCTGCGCCATAATCAGCTCTGCCTTCCCCCACCTCCACAACATGCTTTCATTACATCGAGGCTCGACTATGCAAACTCACTGCTTGTCGACCTCCCCAACTCCTCCCTTGACAGGCTGCAGATCATCCAGCATTCTGCAACCCATGTCCTCTCCCGCACCAGGCTCTGTGACCCTATCATCTCCATCCTTGCCAAACTCCACTGGCTTCCGATTACACAAGAAGATACAGTTCAAGATCCTGGTCCTCACCTTCAAAGCCCTCCATGGTTTTGCTCCCCCTACCTCTGCGACCTCCTAACCCCTTACATCCTGTTTGCTAAGTGGGCTCCAGCCTGCTCCACGTCCCGACTTGCTCGCCTCACTATTGCCTGGCAGGCCTTCTGCCACTCTGTCCCCACCCTCTCCATCCTGCAGTCCCTCCACCTCGCCCCCTTCCTTGCCACCTTCAAGTCTCATCTCAAGACCGTGCTTTCGATCTCCCTACTTCCCTCCATCCTCCACCCTCCCCCACCCCGACCCCCAGCTCGGGTCCGTAACTCTTTTCTGTCCAGCGCCTTGGGACATCCTCCAGACCTGAAAGGCGCTTTACAAATGTAACTTTGTTGTCGTTGTAGAATAGATAGCAAGGTATATATTGAAACTTTAATGCTGAAATTATACCTATAGATCATATTCAGTTGTGATTTGTAACAGCACATAAGTTGGCAGACATATGTGTCTTTGGCTTTCAGGTTTTATCTGGATTATATTGGTATATGTGAAGTCGGCGCCAAAGGGAATTCTCCCAGAAGCTTATCATTTGTCTAGATCTGGAATACAATCACCAGTTGCTGTTTTAAGTTGGAGATTTCAACTTTGGGAATCTGCATAGTGGAGTGCACGCCAAAGAAACCTCATAAATTGTTCCCTTTTAAAACAACAATTGCTACATCAATATGGATGATAAATTTAGTCCCAAGAAATAATGTTCTGCAGTCCCTTAATAATATACTATTCCTTGCAACTAATTATTACATAATTGAAACATCTCAAAGCGCTTCACAGAATTTTGCTCTGAAGTGTATCGATTGTGCATTTGTCAGTAAATGACTACATGGATCATGAGTTGATTGGAATGAAGAGGTTTGTTTAACAAAGGAAAATAAGGAAGTGAAAATCAGATTACAATCAAACGTATAATTCTTTAATAGGAGGAAAACATTTCATAAAATAAAAACAAGTCTAGTGCTGTGTTCATAATATGCTTTCATAGATAAATTGGAGAATGTTGGAGCATTAATATCCTTTGAATAAATAATGCATACTGCAAATAAATATGACAGTGGGGTTTAATTTGTGAGATTTGCAAAATAATTTGTAAATAAGCGGTAGATGAAAATATTCTTGGGGGGTTCTGAGTAAAACTTGGTTAAAGGGTTGGTCCGTCTTAAGACAGGCGAACCGTTGGCTTGATGACAGATCCACTGGCCAATCAGAAGTGATGTACCATCTTTGAGTTGGGAGAGGCAAAAGGGAACCCGTGGGTTGGGGCTACTCAGACTGGCTATGGTCCCCCTCAGCGCTTTCATCTCTCAGCTCCCCTTAAAGAAGTGAGCAGTAGATAGATTTAGTGGAGGGGGCTGAGTCCCTTCCAGGCCCAGCCACCTGCTGTCTATGCCTCTGTTACTCTCAAGATGTCCCCCTGGAACTCTACTCCAATGCCACTGATCAATGCCAAATTCTTGCCAGACGCCAGTAGTTTTTTTTAACTACAACTTGGATTTAAAGATGTAAAAACTAGAAATTCCTTCAGAGTTGGGTTCCATTGGAATGACCACACACACGTTTGAGAACCTGCAGAATTAGCCCCAAAATATTTTGTGTATTTTTGGTCAGTTGGGTGTCTGATACATACGGAAACCCATCCTCATGCTTAACAGTATCCAAAATGGACTGAGAATTCCACATATGTACGCTACCTACACATGGACATTTCTCTATATCTGGATTGAAATGGGCACTCTCTCCCTGAAGGGATGCCCCCTGCTTACCTAATTCCAGGGAGTATTCAGCACAAGACGGTGAGAATCAAGACTTGGGGACTCCAGAGTGTGGTTGGATTAGTGTTGGCTTTTAACAAGCTAAAACCTGGTGGCTTTTCATTAGAGAGCACTGTCTTGCAAACTTCCCACTGTTCATCCAGCTGGAACCACCCTTTCCATTTGGATTTGGGATTGCAGGGTTAACAGGAGTTCAGTGGGAAGAATCCCGGACTGCAGTCGACTTTCCAAGTCCTGCCAGTGAGCCATGCTGCCTCTGTCATCAGCACTGCCCAATATATAAGCAATGAAAGACTTGTTTTAAAAATATTTGTAAGTGCCCTTTCTTTTCAATTTCTGTTTAACTTTGCCTTAGTGGCACCAGAATTAGCTCCAATTATATTGCAAAATAAAACAACATGGAACAATATCAAATTGAGGAGCTAATTTCACTGCACATTTTCCACATTGCTTCCTGGGCCATTCATTGCATTGTAAAGACACATTCCAAAATTTGGATCTGTAAAGCACCAAGGTATCTTTAATTCTCTCCAGAGAACAGGAAATGTTGCAAGTCTGGCTGCAGGAGCTTAGCAAATATTGATAGCCTCTGTCAAGCTTAAATCGTTAATGAAATGTTATGGAAATTATATGAAAGTTATCTGAAAAGATTACTGTTTAATAATTGAGACAAATTAGATTGTTTCCTAATATTTATCAGATGCATTTTTTCACAGGTGGATCAACAACATTTGATGCTGCCCAGATGAAATATCTACGGGACTTAGTTTTCCCCTTGAGAGTATTTGTGGAGTCCTGTAGCTCAGTGGTTAGAGCACTCGCTTTGCAAGCGAGAGACCTGAGTTCAATTCCAGGCAGGGCGAAACCTTGGGCAAGTTTCCTTACTCCACACGCCTAATAATAATCCCTCCAAAACCAAAAACAATAATAAATTGGTCATTTTCAATCTGCGACTGTTTGTGGGACATTGCTGTGCGCAATTGGCTGCCGCGTTTGCCCACAAATGTACAGTCAATTCACTTTACAGTGTGTTCTGTGAAGCACTTTGGGACGTCCTCCCGACGTGAAAAGCGCTATATCAAATGCAAGGATTATTATTATTATTAATGCAATTAGATGATGCTTTCTGTTGACTCAGATTGAAGTGCATTGTTGGGGGAAGAGTGAAGGATTTTGCTGGTTGATGGTTATGCTATCTTGGGATGGTGTCTGTTAATGTAAGGAATCAGAACTCAAATTTCCTTTACAGTAAGTCCTGTGACATGCATTGAGATGTTCTGTTGAATGAAAAACACTATATCACTTTATATAGTGAATGGTGTTCTAACTTAAACCCTTTTTGTACATAACCAGGTTTGTCGAGAAATTGTCCTTAGCTCTGGTAGAATATGTACAATAGACTGAGGAGTTCTTGTTCACATGTAAAATGATTTAAGCGGCACTGTTTAAAATCTGATTGGACTTTGGTCTCACAGCTGCTCAAATGCTTCACATTACAGTGAGGTTGGAATCTTTCATCTGAAGATAACTACATTTACCGATATAATGCTTATTTTTGTCTTGCATGTTCCATTCCATGGCCCAAAGGATGGAACCCTGTTAGCTACTTTCCTCTATTTTGCTGGTCAATGAGTTTGTTACTCAGTTTCCAATCATTTGTTAAATTACGTTGGTGTTGAAGGGAAACTGTTACTCAGTTTCCAATCATTTGTTAAATTACTTTGGTGTTGAAGGGAAAGAAGTACCTTTAATCTCGAGTACTTGCCCCATTATTGGTAAAAGGGAAGATGCAATGGAAGCTGGAAAGGGGAGTTTAGACTTAAATCTTTTTTAAATGTATCTGGTAAAGCAGCTTTATTGAGAAGATGTAGCAGGACTAGCTTTTTTTGTGATAATTTGTTCACTGCTTGTAATCTGAAATCCTGCTATTCTACCTATAACTAACCTGCAAGTGCATTCTGTCTTAAAACGTAAGATCCTGCAGAAGAGTACAATGTTGTTAAATTTAGTCAATGCGGAAGTCATTTTCCAGCAGTTGTTAAAATGAAACGTTTAAAACAAAACTGTTCTAATGCTCAGACTTGATAGGACCTCTGGTGCTCAAATGATAAAAGTAACATTCAATAACTGTTTTACATCTGAAAGCTAGAAATCAGGAACAAGAGCAGCAGTTATACTTTTCAGTTAGAATATAACTGATTGAAAAACCCATCAAGATAAATGCACATTAAACATGGAGCATCATCATCAGAGGCATTGTTTTTTTCTACAATAATAATAATAATCCTTGCATTTGATATAGCGCTTTTCACGTCAGGAGGACGTCCCAAAGCGCTTCACAGAACACACTGTAAAGTGAATTGACTGTATATTTGTGGGCGAACGCGGCAGCCAATTGCGCACAGCAATGTCCCACAAACAGTCGTAGATTGAAAATGACCAATTTATTGTTGTTTTTGGTTTTCGGAGGGATTATTATTAGGCTCTGTGTGGAGTAAGGAAACTTGCCCAAGGTTTCGCCCTCTGCCTGGAATTGAACTCAGGTCTCTCGCTTGCAAAGCGAGTGCTCTAACCACTGAGCTACAGGACTCCACAAGGTGATAAATCACACTCAAAAACAAGTTGACAATGCAATAGCCATTATCCACATACTGGAATGATATCTTGTATCTTTGTTTTCCAGAATTAAGATGTTATGCACAAGGCTGATACTTTGTCATGATAAAGTAGAGAATTTTTAAAAAGCTTTCAGATGTAAAACTTTGAAGATTTCAGTTTTTCAATTAAAGAAAGTAAACTGCTGCTGTCAAGTAGTTATTTTATTGGCAATACAGTGTGGACAGTTACACACAGCTGACAACCAATTAGCTGGTTCCTCCATCAGCTACACTTACTCTCAACTCTTGTCCTTTAGCAGATTCAGGCATGCTGGAACTCCATCCCAGGTCTTTCAGCCTTGGTCCAGTAACAAGATTTGGAAACACTTGCAATGTGAAAAACACAACATGGATTCTGGAAGTTGTAGGAATGCCCATTCCCAGATCAGTTTTACATTTATAAAAGTTCAAGTTTTTTGGTGTTCTACCAATGTCCTTTCATCCATTGTGCCTCCCCTCCAAACTGCTGATTTGTCACTGTACAAAGAGAATACTGAATGCCATCACGATACAACATATAGCGACATAAGGGCTTTTTCGTTCACCTATGAGGAAGAGACAAAGACAAACAAGTTGACGTCCAAAAGCAAAATGAATGGTTGCCATTCATAAATACAATGCAAAATTACATTTTATAGCACCTTTCACATCAAGAGGACATCCCAAGGTGCTGAATATATAGCCTCAAACTAGCAATTTCCTTACACCTATTTCTTAATTGTTACATGTAAATTTCAAATTGCTTCTCAACAAATTAAGCTGCTGAGCCAAATATTTTCCGGATTTAGGTAAGCAGTAAGCAGTAACCTCTCCAGGGAGAGAGTGCACATTCTATTCCAACAATCTACAACAACAACATGCATTTATGTAGTGCCCTTTACGTGGGGTAGCATCCTGGAGCTCTTCACAATGGCAGAGTCTGCCAACGAGCCGTTCGCCCACAAATATACAGTCAATTCACTTTACAGTATATTCTGTGAAGCGCTTTGGGACGTCTAAAAGACGTGAAAAGCGCTATATCAAATGCAAGGATTATTATTATTAGAGGGAGGGGGGAGGTGATCGTAAGCACGATCAAAAAGGAAGGTCTTATGCAAGATTTGAGAGTTCCAGAGTTTTCGGGCGTAATGGCTTAAGGCACGGCCACCGATGGTGGAGCGGAGGGCACGAGCGACAATTAGGAGGCTGGAGCCAGTTGAGCAGAGGCAGCAGGTGGTGGAGTGGGGGGTAAGCAGGTCAGATAGGTAGGGAGGTGCGAGGGAATGAAGTGATTTGAAAACGATTACTTCAGGATCTATCTCAGGATTTTCATGAGTAGGTGGGATGCATGGAAACCTCAGCTTGGTTTGGATATGCTAAAGCACGGTGATAGGTTTCTGAATGTGTCAAGACACCCAGCTAATCAAAAAACAAACATATAGGTACTTCAAGGGTTTCATCAATCAGCCAAACCTGCAGACGTGCTTCCAAATTAACTTCTTGGCACTGTAATACTGTCATTTACAGATTGCATTCTGACCCCCACAGCTCTGAGTATTTTGTACACCACTCACTAGCTGAGAAATTCAATGGACAACGTGCTTGAAGCCCTCTACCAATATCATTTGAGCCAACCACAGAAAAGCATTGATTTATTATAATCTCAGTGGCAGCTCTGCAGCATACAAGGCACTGCTGTCACTATTTGATAGCTGTGGAACCAGCCAGATGGATTGCAATTTTTTTGTAATTACATTCCTACATGGTCTTAGCATATACTACTCATCCAAAATAAACATTTATTCTTCTCCTGATCTTATCAATGACAATGAAAACTCAAATGCAAATCCAAGTTTGAAATGCTATTCTGATTGCAGCAGTTCTGCGTTGTTGTTCGCATTTTAGTTGAAGCTTCCAACATAATTTACTAAAAATGAGTATTGGACACAGTACTAGTCAGTTATTTATTTCAGAACATTTTGTAGAATTTTACTAATCCCTCGCCCAGTGACCTTGCAACATCTTGGGCATTTCTGCACCATCAATTCACGGACCAGTAGCAGGGTTAGACACCAAGCAAGGGAGAATAGAGAAGTGACGTGCCCATAAGTGCAGTCAAAGCATTAGGTCTTGAGGTGGGAATTGTAAAAATAGTTGTATAATATTGTGAACAAATCCCATTGCAACCCCTCTTTATATGTGGCTCCAAGAGGAATGCATAAGAAGATTTTGACCAAGAAAGCTCAAGGCTATAATAATAATAATCCTTGCATTTGATATAGTGCTTTTCACATCTTCTAGACATCTCAAAGCGTTTCACAGAACAGACTGTAAAGTGAATTGACTGCATATTTGTGGGCGAAACGCAGCAGCCAATTGCACACAGCAGTGTCCCACAAACAGTCGTGGATTGAAATGACCAATTGTTTTTTGAGGGATTATTATTGGGTGTGTAGAGTAAGAAAACTTGCCTAAGATTTCACCCTGGCTATGGATACTTTAAAGGAAATGCTAGTAACATAAACAATTAGCTTTCTCTTGTTATTGTATCCTTAAAGTCAATCTCTTAAATAATAATCCTTGCATTTGATGTAGCGCCTTATCATGTCTTTGATATGTCTCAAAAGCGCTTCACAGAATATACTGTCAAGTGAATTGGCTGTATATATAATTTTTGTGGGCAAAATCCAATTTATTGATTACAAACAGAAATACAATACTGTTTCATGCTATATAGGGGCTGCTAGCAGACTATTGGTTTCTAAAAAATACAAAAGTATACTGGAGAAAAATGTCTTGCAAAGGGAACCACTCAAGATAGTCTGCAAACCCAATTAAAGATCCCTTTGTCTCATAAACATGTGAGCTCTCTCAGCTATGTTTTATATTAATAAACTCAACATTGTGTGGGTATTCATGGACAAAAATTAGCAGGCGATCAGAGTCCACATTTTTCTCAATATGCAATAATAGGTCCAGTGTAGTCAATTTCTAGCATTTATCATTCCCCAAACACAGAATTCTCTGAAATGCATGCTCAGCTAAATAAGTCCTTGACAAAAGCAACTGCCCATTACAGTATATCATGCCAAAGAAGGTGGAAGAATAATGCCCTTATTAAAGTTAACTGTCAGTGGAGTGATTGTAATGCAACTTTGATGTGAAGTTAATTAAATACTAGCAATTTGTGTGAGCTGAAAAAAGTGCAGACTTGCTGCCAAATAACAAATTTTTGTTGCACAATAAAGCTTGGTCAGATATAAAACATACATCATATTCTATTTAATAATAAAAGCCTTAAAATCACAAAATTGGTCTTGGACAGCAAAAGGCAGAACTTGCATTGCCTAATTTGGACTAATATGCACCATGTATGCCAAATGTCCAGCTAGCAAACTAATGAGTAAAATCCTATTTAACTGTTTGCATGACATGAGCAATGTTAAGGAGCTGCGCTGAACAGTGGCTGGAAGAGGATCCAAATAGCCAAATGTAATTTATATCAAAGACATCATCAGACATACACTGATTGGCTTTGTGACAAAATGCTTGGCTCATCATTCCATTTCTGTCAATTAGCAGTTTAAAATGATCACCTCTAAAGAGGTTTACTAATAATCTAACCAGCTGTGAATATTTAGGATAAAATATCCTGTTGTTCTTTCATCTGTTAGAAGTCTTGCTATGTATGCTGGGAATGGTATTCTAGTTTACAGCCTGCAAACCGACTATAATTCTTGACTTCAGTGCAGCATAAAGACTTACAACTACTGTACAATATATGTATTTTACTTTTTTTGGAAGATTAATATTTCTTCTAAGAAACAATACTTTTTTCCTTTTTCCTCCAACTCGCTGGAACTCCATTCGAGAGTCCCTCCAACTCGATCCCTCCCTCATCCTTTTTGAAGGTCAGTCTCAAGGTTGAGCTTTCAGCTCCCCACCGCCCCATCCCGGCCTCCCATCCTCAGTTCACGTACCCTGCCAATACTTCTGAGTTCTTTGGGACGTCCTTCAGACGCGAAAGGCAGGATATAAATGTAAATTTGTATTGTATTTCTCTTCCATGTCCTCCCCACAATCTCCGATGGCGCCTGGGGAAGGTTGTGCGCTTCAAAGCCTCTTTAGTGTGTTTTCATAATAGCAGGTGCAGCACACGCATATAACAATTATGTCTCAAATTCATCCCTTCTAGCTAGACTACGGATAAGCAGTGTAGGGAAACATGCCCTACTTGCTTCTCCAGACTTTTCACTAGGTGCTGTGGGAAAATGTTTTATGTTTACAGCTCTCTCCCACCCCAGTTTTCTAGACTATATGCAGACAGAGATTTATATACTTCAGTAATGTAATCTTGTCATTTTAAGAGAAAAAAAATGACAAACAGAACTCCTGCAGCATTTACAGATTGAAAGAAACATTCTTGCCATGACAAACATTACCATTTTATTCATGCATTTTTAATAGAAAAGACTTCATTGGATATAAAACACAGTAAAACTACTATATAAAATAAGAAATGTCCATTCCTTTAAAGAATATTAGTACATGCAGCAAATTAAAAGTGTAATTAATCTACCCAAAAACTATATTTTTTGTGCGATACAAATAATAAGAGCAATAGTGGGAATTGCACAATTAAGTTCTTTCATTGCACCAGGAAGCTAAGACTATCTGTACACTAAACAGATGAATCCTTTGAAACCGGGTGCTACTCTGGCAGTGGAAGAGGAGGTTTTGTTATTAGTTGACGTAAATGGACTTCAATAGTTTGATTTAGAGAGGAAAGTGCTCCACTATTCCCAACTGTTTAAGGTTCCTGTAAACGGAAACCTATTCAGTCCATTAATTTACAATCTGTGCCTGTTACAGCTCCTCAAAATTTTGTTTATCGAGTTCACAAGGGTTTAAATAACAGATTAAGTTTCACACAGGTATCCCCAAAAATATCAAGGTGTACAGCAGCTTGGGGAACAGAGCCTTAAGATAGTAAAAATGTTAAAAAAAATTGGGGGTGTCTGACACATCCGGAAAATTGCTTAACCAAACCAAACCAGAATCCAAACCAAACTGAGAATTCCATGCATCCCACCTCACATCGAAATCCCAGAGATAGATTGTTGGAATGGAATGTACTCTCTCCCTGGAGGGACGCGTCCTGCTTATCTAATTCAGGAAAGTATTAGGTGCTAGGAGCCAAGGCTTAGGGACCCCGTTTGGGGTACTGCTGGAGTCTAACCAGCTAAGACTGCCGAGCTTGCCATTGATAGCACTTTCCGGCAAGCTTTCTGCTGCTTGTCATTCGGGATTTGGCTTGCAGGGTTAACAGGAGCTGAGTGGGAGGATTCCCTGCCCAAAAAGTGACTGATCTGCGCTTCCAAATCCTGCTGATGAGCCAGGCTGGCTATGCTGTCATTAACAATGCCCTGGAGTACTATGAACCGCCTGGCTCAGGAACCGGACTACCGAGACTGCCACAGAAGGCTGGCTCGATTCTGATGTTCTGTTGCCAAACACATCACCTCGGAGCCAGTACAATTAAAACAAAGGCCTCTTACATTTTTTTTAAAAATTGGTGGGGAAGGGGAAAATTGTTTTGTACATAAAATACTTCTGATTTTTCCTTCCACTTTAACTCTTAAGGTGTTGTAGATGCTCAGTCCAGACCACCACCAAATTCACTCATTCAAGATGCTCGTTTCCTGCTTTAGATGTGGATATTTTACCAGGGATTGATCAGACCACATTTCTGATGCAGTCTGCCAATCTTCCTAGTTTTCAGGTTTTTTGTTTTCACAGAATATACCGTAAAGTGAATTTATATTTGAGGGCGAAATGGAATTTCTGTGGGCCAAACGTAGTTTATGATGCCCGTTTTTAAGCACCAAAAATACAATATGGTGTCCCACATTAAAAAGAAAATTGTAGGAATAGAAGTAAACCAGCACAAAAAGAATAGGGGAAATCGACAGGGCAATCACAACTATTTCAGAATGTATTTATACGTACATTATAGTTGTGATTGCCCTGTCGATCTCCCCTATTCTTTTTGTGCTGGTTTACTTCTATTCCTACTAACAAGGGTAATTTATTTAATATTTCTGATGCAGAGAAAGACTTTTTTTATTGCGATTTTAGTAATACTTTCAGCATCACATAAAAATGTACAGAAGCAATCAACAGATTTTATCTTAAAAGTACTCCTTTATCTGCAACTTTCCCACCAAATGTACGCTTCAAAGATTATATTTGTAACTAAACCTTGCAGAGAGGATGCTTGCTATCCTTACCTATTCTGGCACACTTCCAAAATATCCCCAGAGGTCTGTGAAAGAAAAAAAAGGTTCATCACAGTTATTACTACATTTCAATAACAATTTCAATTTTAATTCAAGTTAATGTTATGTGAGTCTCTATGAAGAAGAGGATGGCAGGCTGGTTATATTCCTGAGATTTGTATCCCACAGCTTAAAATCTAAAGCACAATTTTAATGCACAAAAATAACCATTTTTAGAAAGGATTCTTCCATTCCTGCTAATAAAAGTGACATTTTATGCAAGTAAGTAGGAAGGCAGTGAAGAGAATCATTCTGAAATATGTGCACCGTTAACCATTACTATTGTTACATTATGAATGAAAGAAAGCAGATCAAATAGGTCACATTCTTTCTTCTATATATATTTATATTATAACTGGTGTCTTTTAGTAATTATTGTTGAATCCAAACAAGAAGTTATTTTTCTTTTAAACATAAATCAAGAAATGATTCATCAATTCAATAGAAATTATATTAAGTAAAAGATAGATCTTTGTTTTGCGATGGCACATATGTTGAATTGACAAGGAGAGAAGTGTCAAGGATAGCCAAACCAGAATTTCAGACTCATTAATGCAATGTGCAGCTCCAGAGTCAACAATGGCATTTTACTGTTAGAGGAAGTAGAAGTAGACATACTCCCAATCTGCCAAAATAAGACATAAAGGAAAGCTCAATTAGCTCCATTAACTCCAGATTTAACTGTATCAAGCTATAAACAAAAACGTCTGAAGGAGTTGAATAAAGAGAACACGGTTTGCGGTGACGTACATCTTTAATTTATTCTGTAAAATCTAGTGTATAGGACACACTCCACATTCATCTTTTAAGTGGAGTGATGTTACAAGGAAACTCTTGTATAACTTGGGGCTTTCCTTTAAAAAGAACCACATATGAATAATTCAGACTGCTTGCCTTCCATTTGTTTGGGGCGAATGCAGCACAACATAGTTTGGAAATATATGCACAAATACAGAATTATGGATGGCAACAAGGCCATAATTTATTGTAGGGGTTTCAGGTTACTTTACATCATAACCATGAGAGAAATTTGAGGAGTTGATGGACATCATCTAAATGCCACAACTGAACTAGTTTCTTTCTTAAAATAGAATACTGAATTGACTATAGACACAATAAAAGATAGTAAAACACAATAAAACAAAACAATTTAAAGCCCTTCTTAAATTATACTGAACATTCCAGTATCACCAACGCAGAATTAATATAATTTGTTCCAGGAGGGTGTAAAGAATTATTTTGCAGTGCTAAGAAAAATACTTGGAATCAAGAATTTCATTTATATAGAGTAGGAGCGCAGTGCTGATAGAATTCTTTAAAAAAAAGGATACTGGCAGGATTTGTCATTCACCAAATGTTGGACAGCAATAGAAATACACAGAATTTCTGTGTGTTAAAGGACCCCTCAATCTCCTGTCCCAAATCTCCCATGTGTCATTTGCCGCTGATCTGTTCCACGATTTCTGTCAATTCTGCTGCAAAATACCTGCTGGGCATTAAGCATCATCAAGAGGTTGTGACTCTGATTTCCTGATGGAAAACTAATTTGCCTGACGTGCTGTCTTTCAAATGAGATGCTGAACTGAGGAATCGACTGACTGATCAGGTGGGTGATAGAGATCCCATGATCTTATTTAAAAAGAGAAGGGAGTTTCTCTTGGTGTCCTGTCCAACAATCTTCTAGATCAGGGTGGTCCAACCTTTTGGCTGCCACTGGCCGGATTTCTTATTTGAGAAAGGTCCGTGGGCCACATAAGCAATACTTTGTGTTTCTCTTCTGGAAACATAACATTTACACAACACTTTTTTCATGTTGTAAGGACGTCTCAAAGCGCTCAACACTGCCGACTGGGCACCTGAGCTGGGGGTGGAAGTTGAGGGAGATGGGATTGGGAAGGGAAAACATTACTAAAAGCGTGGTCATAGAATTAGGTCTTGATGTGCCTTGAAAGAGAGAGCGAGTTGGAGGGACTCAAGGAATGGAGCTCCAGAGAGCAGGAGCAAAATGGCGATGGAGAGGCACATAGGGTGGGGGGGAACACGAAGCAAGCTGGTGTTTGCTCTGCAAAGAGAATGGCTGGGTCAGAGGTCGCAGAGGTAGGGTGGGGAGGGAGGTTGGATTGAAGGACGTAGAGATGTTTTTCACAAGGGTAAGAGAAAGCTTTCTATGAGGAAACTGCATGGTAACTCACTCGGTGTCCGTCCTTGGTCCCCCCGGCAGTGGCTTAGGGAAACTCTGATCATCTGTCCTGACAGTGAACCACAAAACGCTGCCCTCAATTCTTTCTCTCACTTTTTGTTTCTCTCTCCCCCCTCCACTCTCAATCACTAACCCCCTTCTCAATCACTCTCAACCCCCTCTCCTCTCACACACACTCTCTTGTTCTAACCCTAAAAAAGACCCCTCTGTGCCCTCCCCCCCCCTCCCAGGGCTCACATCAGAGCCCACCATGGTCCTGTTGGGTTGGCTGCCCCAGCCCCAGCCTATGGGATAATGCCATCCACCTGACCGCTTGCTCCCGGTTCCCCCGTGCGCACTATGGCTGCTGCTTTGACCCGAGCCCCCTCAACCCCTCCCTCCCTCCTCCCTCCTCTCTACCCCCAACTCTCCCTCCTCTGCATCTCTCCCGCTCTGTCCTCTTCTCTCTCCGTCCCTCTCGCCATCTATCCCCACTTGACCCTCCCACAACCTCCCTCTGTTCCAGCCTGGGAATCCTCCGCCGGGCTCACCGTGGCACTCGGCGTTGGCTGTCCAGCAGCAGCCACACCGACTGCCCCATTCCCCACCACACTCGCCAGCCACCCCGGACACAGACCCGGGGAGCCAACCTCTCCTCCCTCATCCCCATTTCCCCCACCCCTGCCTCACAACCTGGACCCCCCCCTCCCCACACACCCTTCTGTCAACCGCTCCCTCCACATCGGACTACAAAATGTCCGCTCCCTCTGTAACAAGGCCCTGGTCATCAACGATCTCATCCTTGATGAGAGTGTTGACATCATGGCCTTAACGGAAACCTGGCTCACCCCAGGCGACACCTTCCCCCTCACGGAGGCCACACCACCCGGCTACACCTCCCACCACATCCCTCGCCCCAACCGCCGTGGCGGTGGTGTAGCCCTTGTCTCAAGGACACCACTTGCCCTATCCCCCTACTCCTCTGGCTCTTTCCCCTTTTTCGAGCACCTCACCCTCTCCCACCCCTCCTTCCTCTCACTTAAAATCCTCCTCCTCTACCGGCCCCCCAAAACCTCTCCCACCTTCATCTCCGATATTTCGACACTTCTTACATCTCTCTGCCTCTGCTCTGATCGCCTCATCATCCTGGGCGACTTCAACCTGCACTTCACCCCCTCCTGCTCCATCTCCTCAGACTTCTCTTCCCTGCTCTCCTCGCTCAACCTCTCCCTCCACATCAACTCCCCCACTCACAGTCACGGCCACCCACTCGACTTGGTGATCACCCGGGGCCTCAGTGTCTCGGATGTCACTATCACCGACAAGGCCGTCTCCGACCACCACTTCATCTCCTTCACCACCTCCACCCCCCTCCCCACCTCCACCAGACCCACCACCATCTTCTACCGCCCCTGGAAGAAGTTACCCCCACAATCCCTAACCGCTGCCTTGGAGTCCTCTGAACTCCTCTCCCTCTGGCCTTCAACCCTCACTGACCCCTCTTCTCCTCTCACCCTCCTCCACAACACCCTCTCCTCCACACTCGACACTCTTGCCCCCATCACCTCCCGTACTGTCTCCTACTCTCGCTCCTCCCCCTGGTTCACCACCCACCTCCGCTCACTGAAGAGCCAGGTGCGGGCCGCTGAACGCACCTGCGTCAAATCTGGCCTAACGGTCCACCGACAAATCTGGCTGGACCTCCTCAAAATCTACCGCTCCACTCTAGCCTCGGCCAAGTCGTCCTTCTACTCCAGGATAATCCTGGAGGCGAAGAACAACCCCAGGCTACTGTTTTCTACCACATCCCGACTCCTCCGTCCCCCCCGCCACCCCGCGCAGGTCATCTCCTCCAACCTTCACTGCGAGGAGATGCTGGATTTCCTTGAATCCAAAATCAAGGGAATTCGCTCCGCGGTCACTTCCCCTCCAACTTCCACCCACACCCCACCCCCTCCCTCCCACACTCCGACTCCTACCCATCCTCCCCTACACACTTTCGTACCCGTTTCCCCACCCTCTGTCACCAAACTCATCCTATCCCTGAAACCCACCACCTGCTCCCTTGACCCCATCCCCACTCCACTCCTTATCTCCCAGCTCCACTTTCTTGCCCCACATATCACAGACATCGTCAACCTGTCCCTCTCCTCTGGCTCTGTTCCCATTCCCTTAAAAACTGCCACCATCACTCCCACCTTGAAAAAACCCTCCCTTGATGCGTCGCAGCTATCAAGCTACCGGCCCATCTCCAACCTCCCCTTCCTGTCCAAGGTCCTTGAACGAGTTGTCGCCTCCCAGCTGCGCTCTTTCCTCTCCACCCATTCATTATTCGAACCCCTTCAGTCGGGTTTCCGTGCTGCCCATAGCACAGAAACTGCCCTGGTCAAGGTCACCAATGACATCCTGACCATCTGTGACCAGGGCTCCCTCTGCCTCCTCGTCCTCCTCGACCTATCGGCAGCATTCGATACGGTCGACCACGCTATCCTCCTCCACCGCTTGTCCTCCCACCTCAACCTTCAAGGCCCTGTCCTTGAGTGGTTTAGGTCGTACCTCTCCCACCGTCTTCACTTTGTTTCCACGAATGGCTTTTCCTCCAGCCCCCGCACTGTCTCGTGCGGTGTCCCTCAGGGCTCTGTCCTCGGTCCCCTCCTCTTCACCCTCTATATGCTCCCCCTGGTGACATCATCCGCAGACATGGGGTTAACTTCCACATGTATGCGGATGACACCCAACTCTACCTTTCCTCCTCTACCCTCAACTCCACGACCACCGATGTCCTGACAGCTGCCTGTCCGACATCGA